GCCAGCTGGCTGAGGACCTCTGGGCGTTGAAGTCCACAAGTCTTAATGTTGCCAACGTTGGAGTCCCCTGGTCTAGCATTTATCCAAGTGTTTAATATAGCTCCGCTTCTGGAAATAGGGAGCTTGCTTGCTTCCTTGCTTCCTTCCCTCCCAAACTGATCTTTTATATACATAACTCAACATGCCTCCTATTTTCCAAACAGCAACCCTGCAAAGGGGGCTGGGCTGGGAGAGTGACTGGCCCAAAGTTACCGAGCTGGGTCTCTAAGACGGTGCTTTTCAAACCTGGGTAAATTGGGGGAAAGTATTTTTTTCCCCTTTGGTTAATGACACACAACCCTATTACCGAATCACAACACAGGCATTTAAATAAGGACTTTCTGATAAGCTGTTCCGAGTAACGAAGGTAAATGTTTGGGAAGCACTGCCTAAGAGGTAGTGCGTAGCTGAGCTTGAAAAAGCTACCTAGATAAAACCTGAGTGAGAGAAACCTTGACCATTCTAACACTAAGTCAAATTTAAGACTTGAAAAAAACACCATGTCTGGAGGTCAGGAAAAGGGACTGAGCCCATATGTTGGTTACATTAACTTGTGACAGAAGATCTGTTTTTATTGTTCTGTTATTTTATGTATATTGGGAGGGGGGTAGGTTTGCTTTTCTGTTTCTTAGGTTTTATATTATTTTTGATATAGTTAGCCATGAATTTGAAATGGGTAGAATGAATGAATGAATGGGTGGAATGAATGAGTGGATGGATGGATGAATGAATGAATGAATGAATGGATGAATGAATGGATGAATGAATGGGACAAGCAGTAGTAGCCACTTCATGTTAATATGATAAAAGTTGGTGGGTTTTAAAGAAAATGACTGCATCTCAAGGAAGAGATGCTTTCCCCTCCTCTTTGGTAATAATCCCACTATCCTTGGTGCTAGTTGTAGGTGTTATTCTAATCATGCATAACTTTTCTTGACCTGGTCTCTTTGGCATACTCCATCTGCAAGAACTTTGTGTTGGATGAAGGTGACCAGGCCTATTCTGGACAATGCAAATTTAGGAAAGCTGAGAGTTTAAGATAATTTATAAGAACTATTGTTGTTAGGAGGGGGATTCCAGACCATGGGGACTCTGAAATTTACCCCATACTAAGTTCAAGAGGCTCCGTGTTAAATTTTATTTTCCCCTATTAATGGGCTTCAAACAAAGTTATCAGTGCCTTCCCCCCAAAGCTACAATTCTTAAAATTTCAAATGTCATGGAAGTCATTAATCCATGACTGCCTCTGAAGGTCATCTGTGAAATTAGTGGGCTTCCTTGTGCAGTTGCTTGGCCAGTGTGAGAACAGGCTGCTGAACTAGATGGAGCAGGGGTCTGATCCAGCAGGGAAATACTTACATTTTTGTAGTTCAAGATGATATATTTCCTAGTAAAGATTAACCTGTTTCACATTTCTCCCTCAGTGTAGTAGAAATTGAATGTTCCCTCCACACGAGGAAGTTTCAGACAAGTTAAATTTCCAAAAGGATCATAGATCAAAAGAGAAAGTATGTGAAAATGGAGAACCTTCCTGAAAAATACTTGGGTTCTTTCCCAGTATTTCTCCCGCTCTTATGTCTATTTTTCTCAGATTTTAGGAACTTCCAGAGAGGACATTTATTTTACAATCACTGTGTCAAACATAAGAGTTTTACAGGAGATTTGGACTCATTGCTTCATTTCAGTAATGATTATGATAATATCAATATCTTAAAGGAACTGGACAGTGTCAGCATTAAGAGTTATCCATAAAAGATGATTTGCAAGCAGCAAATATTGTCATTTGAATATTTGCTTTCCTCCAAATGTCTCTGTATGGACAACTTACTGTATGACAAACACTTCATATAGAAACATTACTTCCTAAAAACATGGATACAGGTACTTAAAGTTTTGCTAATAATTTTGATCCAGAACATAGCACCATTTAAACTAAGACAAAACCAGGAATCTAATGCTAGGTGAGAATATGCATTTTACTTATGAGAGCGGAAAACAAATGCATTTATCAAAGTGTATTGTGGATTGCATTGTACTAAATATAGAATCTGGAGAGTAGTTTTTCATTCTTAGAAAGCAAGCATTTTCTACCTAATGTGATTGCAGATCTGATTGAAAACATTTTGTATACATATAAATTTAGAAAATACCATACAATGTTAGAGAAAGCTAATTTTAATTTCCCTCCATGGGTTTGTTTGTTTATGTGGTATAAAAATATACCAAACACGAGTGCCACCGTGTGGCATATAAAAAGAAAACAACTGAGGAAATGTTTATCCTTTTAAATTCACCACATGGTATAGAATAGATCCTAAAGTTGGTACAATTTTTTGAATTTTTTTCCCAAGCAAGTTAGAATATTTTTCTGCATTTTTTCTTTATAATACTTCTGTTAGGCTTTGATATCATATATTGAAATACTAACATAAAAAGAAAGGGAATGGCAAAATGTATTAAAAGTGATAAAAAATATATACATCAAACAAATTTAACAAAGGTGACTTCTGCCTTCCTTTTAAGACAGAGATATTAGCAATACAACCACCTCTCTCTAAGTTTTGCCCTTTTTCATAAAAGAAAATTGCTTTTAGATATTCTGTTAAACATTTTAGTAAATATTTGATTATAGCAGTGAGTATAAAAAGAAATCTATTTTCAGCGCATATGAAAAAAAGTTTTGTTGCATTTGTCGGTGGAATCTCTGTAGATAAAATTGTGTCTCTTAAATGTCTGTGTGGAAAAAGTATAATTAGTAATAATGTTTGCATGTTTCTTCATTTCTAACTCAGCAGTTGTTAGACAAACAAGCCTTTAAAGGGTGAAGATTGGCTTCCTGCTTCAGCTGTGAAATTTACAAGGATTTCTGCAGATCAGCCATGCTTCTATGCCCCTTAGAACTTGCATGTTTTTTTTTCCTTGTGCCCTACTGTATCCTGACCCCAAAGCAGAGAGGGAAAATTATTTTTCTGTTGAAGTTGTATTCTCTGTGAGGGGATGATAAAGCCTGTACCAAAATTAGATTAGGTGTCCTTCCCCTCTTTCTTTTTTTCTACTTTTTCCTCTGTGCAAGCAGACTTTGGGGGAAAGTATAAATTATTCTTGCCAAAAGTTTGAAACAAACATTACCAGACAATTTTCCCATCCCATCCATCATTCTGCCTGTTTTAGTCCACCCCCATCTCTCTGCTTCAGTCTCTGCTCCCAACCCCCAGTAAATTGAAAGTCAGTTTCCCACTCCATTTCAGCTATAGCTGCTAAAGATTGTAATACTGTGACTTCTCCTTCTAGCTTATTGAATTTTGACTATCAAAATCCTAGCTGTTGAACATGGAGAGAAAATGTACATGCTTCTGGTATTATTAGACTGTAACTCTTAGTAGCTAGATAGATAGGACTGATTGGGGCTTGGAAGGAAACTCTAACATGAGGATCTTGCTGTATACTCAAATTTTATTTATTAATTTAAAACATTTATATAGCCATCCATCTTATAACAAATTCTTGGCAGCTCTTAATTAAAAATTAAAATAATAAAAAAATCCATATTAAAACCTTTAAAATCAAGTACACTAAAAA